GGACGATTGCCCTCATTGCCGATTTTCCCTTTGTTCTTCACTTCCCTCCCTGCCTTCCTGTGTGCGGATAACACTGTTCCAGAGTTAATGCCAGTTAGGCGCATTCACGTGTGTATCTGAGAGTCAAGTGAAGCATTTCGTTATGAGGAGCTAGAATTATTGGGCGTATTGCTGTCCACCTCAAAAGGTTGCACACCTCCCAAAGGAATATGGCACCGGCAGCGTATGATTTGTAAAAATAGCGTTCACTGAAACAAACGGAGAGCGAAGAGGTTGCTCCTAATTTTGGATGGTACGCGAATAGTGCGTTCTTATTACGTGTGCGTGTTTTTCAGATCGACTCGAGCGCCTTAACAATTCCAGCAACTTTGGCGTCTGGAGAAGCAGCAGCTGTGACCAGGCCAGTATCAGCGGTGCCCATCCCGAGTTTCGAATGTGGCAGCATAATGGTGGTCGTTGAGGGTAAAGGTGCCATCGAAAATTATTCAGTAAATCAGGCGCAACAAGCAATGAGCACTGTGCAGCGTGGCGACGTAATCTACATTGAGCCAAACGCTCAGCTATGCTTCGTGGAGTGCTTCGAAGATCTGCTTGCCTACCGGACATTCAGCTATGAGAAGGGGCCTGACCATGCAATACGCAGTACCGCTGGCAACGCAGTGCCAGAGGCAACCCGTATTACAGTGCAGAAGAAAGGCCGGGCGAAGTACTTGATCATCGACGACGATGCTGAAATGTTCAATATTGAAACCGAAATGGATGGGATTTGCTGAGTGAGATGCGGATGTCATGACCAGAACAGAATTTTATTTTTATCGAAACTCTCTCAAAATATCCACTTCCATTTACTGATTCGTTTTAACTGCAATTTTTGAAGCTTCCAGTAGCATAAGTGCAAGGCATATTCAGAACTCCAGTGCAAGGGGGCATGACAGACAGTTTTGCGGCTTTCTGATGAGTACCATTTTAATGAAATAATGCTTTTCCTCATATTTTTTACGGCCAGTTTGGAACCCAAATCAAGTATTCAGTGCTTGCCGCATCAGCCTTCTACAGAGTTAACAAAATATGATTCCATCGACTGGATTCAGTCTCTTCATACAATTCAGAGAGCACTTAAACTACTGCATGCATTCCCATCTAGTGAATTTAATAATCTGTGAAAGCAGAAAGAAGCCAACGCACAATTCCTCTGGAGTGCTTATCGCTCGCACAGAACTGGCCGTTTTGCATAGAACTGCCGGTTCTTGGAGCATCAGTTCCGCACGAGAAAGCAGTCGTAGCCGTTCCATTAGAAACATTTTCCAATTAGCAGCGACGCACGCAGCAAATGATTCGTCCTTCTAACCGTTGTCTTGGACTCAATGCTAACCAGTACTGAGCTGCACTGAATAGCACAAGTGCCTCGGAGGTAAATGAGCTTGGATAGGTGTACCATCAGCAGCAACGAGATGGACAAAAAATCTACTTATTTTTTCAGTTTCTTGCGCTTCCCCTTAAAATGTATACCTTTCGTGCCAGCGTTGTGTGTTGTTCATGATTTAAAAGGAGGCCTTTTCGAAAGCACTTATTGGATATCCATACGAAACGCTTGTAGAAAACGATAGATATTTTTGTCTCGGAGCTGCTCAAGATTTGACCCGCAAATTGTCTAGCGTTTACAGGCGTGCAAAGCTTTCGTTTACCACTGTGTAAAGCAGAAAAGAATGAAATTCCTAAACTGATAAACAGTTCTAAA